TTTCTGGCACCAGGGACTGGTGCTCCTATGAGAATCTAGTGCCTGACCTGAGGGGGAGCTGAGGCGGTGATGTTAGTGCTAGGGAGCAGTCTCAAATAAAGATGAAGATTTGCTCAATCATCCACCCCTCACCTCCTGCTGTGCGGCCCTGTTACTAACAAGCCATGGATGGTACTGATCCACAGCCCAGGGTTTGGGGACCTCTGGCTTATGGGGTGTAAAATAGATGATGAATGTTGCTATGTTTGCCTCAAACTTTTAAATTATCCCATGGCACCTCTTTGAGTTTACTGTGGCCTCCTGACCTAGAGTGGCTTTATGTACAATTTGAGAACCTCGGCCCCAGAAACTCCTTCTTATTGAGTTAGTACCCATATTCTGAGCTGCCTTAGCACACTGCACATCTCTATCATGGCTACTGCCATAATGCATTGTAAGAAGCTGCTTGTGTGTCTGTTTCTTTCTCTAAGACTATGACCTTTATAAGAGCAAGGACCATTCTTTCCTCTTCTTTTGTATACCCAGTGATAACACAGTGCCTGACATACATCTGGTGTTCAGCTGAGAAGAACTGAACTACTGAGAGAGTCAGACCCCAGTAGTAGATCCCAAAGAACCATGGCGGCTGCAAAAGAAATCATCCTAATTCTAGTCAAGCTCAAAACCTGTGGCTCTGAGAGGGAGCGAGAATTCTTCTGGATCTGGACATGGGACCTACTTGAATCTACTTAGTCAGGCCTGAGTCCAGACAGGGAATCTGAGGCTATTTTCTCTGAAAAGTTACCAACAAGTCAAATTTTAGATCAGAAAGCTATAGTCAATCCATTTTTTATTTTCATTTGGTTTCCTAGATGAGTTCCTTGTGAGGAGAAGGGGAAAAAGAGAAATGGAAAGGAGAAAAGGAGGGAAGGAGTAAGGTGGAAAGGGAGAAAGAAAGAAGAAAAGAGGTGGAGAGAGGAAGGAAGGAAGGAAGGAAGGAAGGAAGGAAGGAAGGAAGGAAGGAAGGAAGGAAGGAAGGAAGGGAAGAAGAAATGCTTCTTTTTTCACATAAAGTGGAAAGGGAATTTTCCTTTCCAAACCTCCTTTAAAGTCATGAGGGTACCTCTGTGCCCTTGGTGGTTGGGCAATCATAGCCCTGGGGCCAGACTAACCTTGAACTGGGTGCACACAGTGGAGGAGCCCCAGCCATCCAAGCTGGAGGAAGAAATGCCATCAGTGGGTGCTGCTTGTTCCTCCCAGTTTGGCTCATTTCCTCACAGCTGCTTGCCTGATTTTTTGATGAGCCATTACTTTTATCTGATTTGTGCTGTTCTTCCCTATCATTAGCAGTGCATGAGAATTTGCATTTTTTTTTTTCATATCCTGCTAAGAATAAACCCTAGAAATAATTGGGAAGCTTAGGCAGGACCAGGATCAGAAGTCAAATTTATGTTTTCACATGAGAGATGTTCTCACATCAGCAGTTCATATGTCTCACTGACTCTAACTACAGAGGTCCCATCTAAATAATTAGTTGCTATAACTCAGTGGCTCTACTACTCACCTTTGGGTTTAAAGGGCTACACCCCCTTTACCTGCTCAAGGTTTCCAGCTGTCTTTGCCAACTTCTGATTCACTCTGAAGTAGCAGATGTTCAGGCTCAGCCTGGTGTTCAGGGTCCACCCTGCATACCCCACTGCCCTTGGCATTGGACCCATGGGATGGACAGGAGGCGGGAGCTCTACAGCAACAGTCTTTCTTCAACAGGGTGGAGAGTGGGAAATGTGTTCTGTTGCTGCCTGTGTTTAGTTTGTTCTGTGGACAGAGTTCTGGGAGCAAACGCAGCCCAAATCATCATTGGCCTAACGGCAAGTGAAGGAGCAGCAGAGCTGAGCCCATGGCTCATTAGGGAAGCCAGGATTTTAGTCCTCCTGCGACCTCTTGCCTAGAGACTCACACAACTCTATTTTAGATCGTTGACTACTTTCTAGAAACTTGAAAAACAAAAACAGCTTTATAGCACATTACTGCCAGGAAGTTCTTTCTAGTAACTAATTTGAGCCCTCTGTGTTATAGCTAAAGCTCATTTTATTTTGTCTAAACTTTATGAGAGAAGGAACATCGGATACAATGACCTTCCATAAAATAGAAGACCTCTCAGATTTGTCTTCTTCAGAAAGAAGAATTTGGTTTCTCTTAAACTTTTATCATAGCTTTACCACCCAAATCTTTCATTATCTTTCTCAATTTTATTTTTGAACCCTCTCCAAAACTTTCTTTTGAGTTACAGAGACCATGACTTAATTAGCTCTCACTACCAGAGGATATTTACTACTAGTGCTTAAAGAAAAATAAGTTTCGGTAGGATGTATTTCATTGGAGGAAGGGCATAAAAAAAAAGAAATTAGATCCTTTATATAAATAGCACATTGTACCACAAATGAGTTTTCCTTTTCCCAATTGTTTCTGAAACAATGGGTCTTTTTTGATGAATTTAGTTCCTCAGAAATTCTAACTCCTAAAAGACTGTGATTTGCATTCTTTTGTGGGTACATGGTTTCTGGGTCTGGAAAAAAGCAAGATGTGTGGTCTCTGATTGCCTAGTAAGCAGTAAAGGAAACAGGGCTGGCAAATTGACAGCAATTAAGCACCTTATCCAGGTGTGGGAATGTGGGGTAAATCTGTTTTCCAGCCTTTTCTGCAGCAGCTTCTGTTCCAAGGCATTCAGAGGACCTGTCTTACTTCTCCATAATTCCATCTTAACTATAATCAGGCTGGTCATTTCTAATGCTGTTCTACTTAGCTGTACAAATTTCTTTATTTTGATCATTTGGCATTTGTGCTCAGATTTTTATGAGGGAAAGGAAGATATTTTACTTATCTTTGGGCTGTGGAACAGAGCTACAGAGGCTGGCCTTGAAGTTAGACTAAAGTCTGACCTTCACTCAGCCATCACCTTAGCCAGCTGCTTTGAGCACATTACTTTACTTTCTTCCTCTGCTTTTCCCTTGTATAAAGTGAAGAAGTTGGGTCACAGATGATCTCTGAGGTCCTTTCTGATTTAACCTTCCACAATTTTCATAGCATCAGTTTTTCTAATTGCTCTACAAAGGGACCAATAAAAGGAAAGAGGAG